GTTTGAGTAGAAGTCCATTGAAAATTGTTCTGAAGTGAGTTTGTGTGTAAAGGGTGTAAGTCTGTGTTACTCTCATGTTCCATGAAAGGTGGTCTGTGTTATATCTTTGTCCTTCTCAACAGTGATGATGCTGGGGGAGGTCAAAGGTGGTCAGGCCTTTCTGAGCAGATTTGTCTTGGGTAAAACATTAACACACTGACAGTTCTTCCTGTTTAGTGCCTATCTTTTGGGCCTGCGGCCATAAAGAAAAACTTATCTGGGGTTTTCCTTGTCCCAAACCAGACACTCTGGAGCCATCCCATGACTCTGGAATGTGGTGTTTAACTCACATTGGTTCCGTTGTGTTTGGTTCGCTTCAATTCGTTACACAAATTATGTGATGGGAGATTAAAACCGCGAACCTCTTGCATGCGTAGCAAAAATTGTCCCACCAGAGCATTAAGACATACAAACATTTGTCTCGACACATTTATTCTCTGACATAAAGATTAAACTAATCACATTAAAACTTCTATCAAAAAATTAAACAATGTACTATTTAAATTGATTTTGTAATGTTACCCTCAAAGTGTTCTAAACTTAAAAAAATTTTCTTTCTTCTGGTGAACACACACAAGTAAATTGTGAGATGATGGAATTGACTTGATGGTGTCAAGGGGTGGTTTGGTTTCCGACATTCTTCAAAATGTCTCATTTTGTGTTCATCAGAAAAAATACATTGATACAGGTTTGGAACAACCCGAGGGTGAGTAAATTATTACAGAATTTACATTTTGGGGCGAACCATCCCTTAACTTTGTCAGAACGTTATCGTTCTGTTAACATGCAGCTGGGTTGCTCAATGCAAATTGTGCAAGCTCACATTGCTACACTAACACTTGTCAATGGATATACATTGTATTTTAAGTCAAGTATATTTAGCAAAAATTCTCCCACCAGAGCATTAGGACATACAAAAATTTAAGTCATATCGTCTCGACACATTTATTCTCTGACGTAAAGATTAAACTAATCACATTAAAACGTCTGTCAATAAATTAAACAATGTACTATTGAAATTGATTTTGTAATGTTAACCTCAAGGTGTTCTAAACTTTAAAAAATTTTCTTTCTTCTGGTGAACACACACAAGTAAATTGTGAGATGATGGAATTGACTTGATGGTGTCAAGGGGTGGTGATGGCACAGTGGACAAGACACATGCCTTTGGTGTGAGATACCTGGGTTCGAATTCACTGTGAGATACCAATGTGTCCCTGAGCAAGACACTTAAAGGGGTGGTTTACTGCTTTTTTTTCTTTGCATGATTGTGTATATGGGGTGCAATATAACATGTATTCGTGGTTTTTCTTTTTTTAAAAGTCTTATTTTTCATAAATTTCACCTTTATTGTAAGCCGCGTTCTCCTCTGTCCTCTGAATGACTGGTTGACTTCCTGAGTCTATGAAACCACTCCCGCAGAAACAGGCAGTGGGCTCAGATTGGTTAGTCTGGGCCGGTGTGTTGTGAATGGCTAAACTGTAGCTCACGTTGATCGGAAGGTTAACGCCCATTACCTTTACGGGCGAAACGTGTGTGTGCTCCGGTCCAATGCAGAGCCGCTCTGGTCCAATGTACAGTAAATAATGGTGTCGATACTGCAGTATCAGAGCCAGATTCAGACCCAGAAAGCGGCGATGAATAAAGTCAAACAGAACCTCACAAAACACGGCTCTTAAAAACTTTTCTGAATGGTAATTTGCCTATATTTTATACACGTTTGTTTTACACTGACTAGCTACTAAAGTTCTATACACAAACAGAGTCGACAATGGTTTATGTTCTTGATCAAATCGAAAATAACGTCATAAAGTATATATATATATATATACACATGAAAAATACATTTAAAACATTAGTACTTATACAAAATTCAGGTTCATAATGTTTGTACGCGTTTGTCGTAGACACAAAATAGCATAACTAGTAGCCTAGTGGCTATAAAGCCAGCGCTGGCTTTTGATAAAACTAAAACATTACGTCTGAAATTATACATGCAAATACATTAAAAATGATTAAGTCTTAGCCTACTTACAGGTTGTGGCCCAACAACGGCTGCCTCTGGTTTTAAAGTTGGAACTGCTTCATGTTTTAGTAACAGTTTCTTGTTGAATCCAGCATTGAATTTGTGGAGATTCTGGATGCTGTCTCTCAAAAAATGCGCAGCACAGACAGCTAAATTACGATCGTCATTTTCAGGAACAACACTATCAAACATAAATTGTATCCATTGTTGACAAAGTACAGCGTCCGTGGGAAGCCCGAGCATAGAAGACCTGACAGCTGGGTGAACTTAACACACTCGACGAGCCGCAGAAACATGGCCATGCCCTTTTTTGCATTTTCCGGAGGGAGGGGTTGATGTGTGAGTTAGTGACTTCTAAAACCCAGCTGTAGTCCCAATCGAGTCGTTTTTGTACACATTAAACTTCCTGATTTTTTTAAAGACGATATCTCTGCTTACATTGAACTTTCAGCGCTGCAACTTTGCAGATACTGTTCATGCACCAACAGCAACATTACACACTATTTAAAATGAAAAAAGTGAAATCACAATCATCGGCAAAAGTTTTTTTAAAAGTGAACTGCTCCTTTAAAGGGAGGGCCCTTTAAAGGAGCAGTTCACTTTTAAAAAAACTTTTGCCGATAATTAGGGTTGGGAATCGTGAGAAATTTTCCGGTTCCGGTTCCGCCAAACGATTCCGGTTCCCATTCAATTAAAAATATTAGTAAGAAAAAAAATCCAAAATCCCATTTGTGTTTATTTCTTATAGTACTTGAAAAATGAGTTTAACAGACTGGTAATGTAAACAAATTCAACATATTATTAATCAATCTTTGCAAAAAAATAAAAAGGAAATTAAAAAATTCTGCATTCTCTAGAATAATTTAGGACCTCTTATTGTATCTCCAACAGTGATACCCTCTCAGAAGGGGTAGAATATGCTTTAACACACGTGTGTAGAACAGATTATTTTTAAAAACAGTTTGAATTATTGATTCATAAAGACTTTAATCATTGCATTATTACTGGATAAATCGGCCCCAAATAGCAGTTAATAAACAGAACTGCAGTGCATGCGTCTTGTGGAAGAACATAGTTGCCGGAGCTACTTCTCTCTGTTTATGTCCATGACGAGTCACGCAGGCATTGGGCTACTCCGCAGCGGCTGTGATCCGCCATCCAGTCTAAACAATTCGGAGTATTAATGCTTATTATGGGCTTTACGTAGTGATTCAAGATAAGACAAAAACACAGTTTGAAAAAAAGCATTCATGATGCACTCGCTCATTGTATACATTTTGTAAATTCTGAACACAAAAAAGTTACGGACTGCCTTTTGATACCATCAATGTTTAGCCTACTCAAACTATAATCTCACTACTTCTGTAACGTTAATCATTTGAATATGTGTAACAAATATTGATACTGTGTGATTATAAAGCAGTTTCATGTCGACAACTGCTCTCTCTCTCTCTCTCTCAGCGCAAACAGATTTGAATGTACGTGATCGGCGCGCGCATGAGTGTACTATAAATGCAGCGCGTGTGAGCAAATCACAACTTCAGTGGTGAAGTTTTCGTCATTTAGGAATAAGACGGCGTAGGTGTTTGAATCTAAATCTTTTAAAGATTAATCATGCAGCTCTACTCTCTCGCTCTCTCTGCGCCTTGAGGTGAGACGCTAAAGAATAATCTACTCCCAGGACTTCGTCTCATATCGCACCAGAACCGTTTTAGGAACCGAAACTTAAAAAAAAAAAACAAAGTTTAAGTTTTATAAGCTCAAATGTCGCCTTGCTCTGTTCTGTGATGCTCGTTCGTGACTCTCCTGTTCGTACTCCATCAAAATGAACAAATGTTTTTTCGTGTCATTTGGTTTATTCAACGAGCAAAATGAACAAATTGACTTGGAAAAAGATTCGTTCATTTTGATAAACGAGTTTGAACAGGAGAGTCACGAAGCGCATCACAGAACAGAGCAAGGCGACCATTTGAGCTTATAAAACTTAAACTTTGTTGTTTTTTTAAATGAGGGATCGTTTCGCTTGATAAGACCCGAATTCATCATCTGGAATCGTTTAAAGCCCTTTGAACAGTTTGCACTGAAAGTGTCTTTTGGACCTTGAACCATTTGGTTCCCATTGAAGTCCATTATATGGAGAAAAATCCTGGAATGTTTTCATTAAAAACCTTAATTTCTTTTCGACTGAAGAAAGAATGACATGGACATCTTGGATGACAAAAGTTATTTTAAAAGTGAACTACTCATTTAACCCCTAGTTGCTCCAGAGGCGTGCAACCTCTGACATGTATAGCAATTGTAAGTTGCTTTGGATAAAAGCGTCCACTAAATGAATGAATGTAAATATAAATATTTATTCAGTGCTTTTCACAATATAGATTGCATCAAAGCAGCTTCACAGTGTAAGGATTTTGGCCAGGCGAATTTCTGAAACACACACATGCACACACAAACCTTTCACTTCCCCCACACATCGGAATGTGTGGAATGTTTTTGAACAAAGAGAAGGACTTTTGGTGTTTTAAAACATTCAACAAAATGTTTTCAATGGTTTTTATGTATATGTGTCTTCCCCATGTCTTCCCCATGTCACAGTGAAATAACTTTGTTTGGTCACAGTTTAAATAGGAATTAACCCACTAAACATTGGACGTCGGATAGACGTGCAGATCATGTCTATATTGGGTCCGTCGGTCCATGACCAATTGTGGACGTCTATTCGACGTCCAAACTAGGTCTGTTATTTGGACAGACATTTGACCTTAAACTGGGTAACTTTTTTTTGGACGGCATTTGGACGTCTTTTGAGAGTTGCTGGAAATTATTGATTTGTAATATTTGTTTTATTTTTATTTTTTTATTTATATATAAATAGGCCCCTCTACAATAAAAATAAAATCAAAAGCAAATATGGTATACAAATATCATAGAACTAAAAAAATTAGTTTTAACTTCATGATTTAATATTAATGACATTATACATTATTATAAGATGTTTTTCTTAATGCTGCGTGCGTGCCTTTGATGCGCGTGCGCGTGAACATTCAAATCACAGGAGCGCGCGAGCAGTTTGAATTGAAACAGGAAGCGTCGTGCCGTCGTCAACTGACAAACACCAACTAGCGTCTCTCGCTGTTGTCACTGCGTTCAGGTAAGTTAAGTTAACAAAATCACACAAATACTACATAAAAATGTTCCTGACACCTTTATTGTGTGTAATTGATACCCTTCTGTTGAATATTTACTTTATAGAAATGATTTTGGGTCTTCGAAAAAGTCCGTTAGCATCTCAATCGTTTTCAGAAGAGGCTAGCAGCTAAGTTAGCTAAGGTAAGTTACTCTGAAGCTGTTTTGTATAAGTTTGGGGTTTTATCTTTGTGTAGATAATAATTTTTGATAGTTTTTTTGCTGGTAATTTACAATGGGTGATTGGAAGTAACGTTAAGCTAATTTATTTAGCCTAAAATAATGCGATGTATTATTAATCAGTGACGTCACTTAACGTTACAAAGATTGATTAAAAAAAGTGATTTCATGAGGAAAAAACGTCCACAATAAAAGGGGGATTTATTGTTTATTCATGATAGTAATGTCATATGCATTTATTTAATAATATTTATGTATATACTTTCTCTTTTCTTAGCTAGAGGAGAGGTGAAATCCAGAAAAGAGAAATTATATATGCTTGCTTCCTTGTAATAAACCCTATGTTCTAATCCTATGTAACATTGTTGGCTGTGACACATTGCATGTTATTTTCTAAGATCATGTTGATGTCCTAAGTTACTGCACCCCCTGTCCAAGACAATCTCCACGGCTATGAACTCGACTAGTAAGCAAAACCTCAAACATACTGTACTCTACTGTTCAAAAGTTGTAGGTCTGTAGGATTTATGCTTTTGAAAGAAGTCTTAACCCCAGTTTTTTTTTTTTTTTTTTTTTTTTTTGGTGAGATTGTCCTTAAGAAGCCTTTAGGCTAAATTATCAGCTAAATAATAGATGGCAAATATCATGTTATAAAGGTCATAATTATAATAATGAATTTAACTATTATGATAACAGAATATCATGGTCATTGGTATTTTTATTTTATTTCTCTAGGTGTGTTTTGAAATAAGTTGTCCAATGAGACGTCGTACTGTCCAACTCAAAGGTATTTATTTATTTTTATGTATTTTTTTACTGATAAATACTGAAATTCTTTTTACTTTTAAATGCTGAATTCAGGGGGTCGACAACTTTAGGTACGCAAGTTATTTTTCACAGATATCTGGCCAGTTTACTCATGGCTCATACTCTTAGCCTTTATGTTTAAATGTTTGAATTTATATCTGCAATAGAATATTTGCAATATTAACCCTATCAGGGGGTAAAGATATCATTAGAGTTCTTTAAGGAGTAGTTCACTTTTGAAAGCTTTTGCTGATAATTTACTCACCCCCATGTCATCCAAGATGTCCATGTCTTTCTTTTTTCAGTCAAAAAGAAATTAAGGTTTTTGAAAACATTCCAGGATTATTCCAGTATTTTCTCCATATAATGGAGTTCAATGGGAACGGTTCAAGGTCCAACTGAGAGTTTCAGTTCAGCTTCAAAGGGCTTTAAAAACACCAGACAATGAATAAGGGACTTATCTAGCGAAACGATCGCTCATTAATAAATAAATAAAAAAGTTTAAGTTTTATGAGCACAAATGCTTGCCTTGCTCTGTTCTGTGATGAGCGTTCGTGACTCTCCTGTTTGAATTCGTTCATCAAAATGAACTAATCTTTTTTCGAGTCATGACTCAAAGGGTCCTTGATAAGACCCTTATTCATCATCTGGAATCGTTTAAAGCCCTTTGAAGCTGCACTGAAACTGTCTTTTAGACCTTGAACCGTTTGGTTCCCAGTAAAGTCCATTATATGGAGAAAAATCCTGGAATGTTTTCATCAAAAACCTTAATTTCTTTTCGACTGAAGAAAGAATGACATGGATTTCTTAGATGACATGGGGCAGAGTAAATTATCAGCAAAAGCTTTTTTTTATTTATTTTTTTAAATTTGAACTACTCCTTTAACCCTTCAAAGTCTGACTGATTAAATCATATTTGAAAGCAAAGTTAAAAGTAACAGATCTCAATATTATTCTCCTCTCATGGCATAAAGGTGAGTCAGTACAAACTGTTATACCTCTGGGTATGAATGACTTCCTGTGGTGGTCCTTATTACTTTGAAGTTGAAGTAGCCTTCAACTGAAAACAGTCTGCTCTGACAAATAGTTGATGTGTTGTATTATCAGGGATACTCCACTTTGTCTGGAAATTGGCTAATTTTACAAATCCCTCAGAGTTAAACAGTTGAGTTTTACTATTTACGATTTTCTGATATTTAGAAGAGTATCAGTAACCAGACAGTTTCTGGTCCCGTTGACTTCCATAATATATGTTTTTCCCACTATGGAAGTCAATGAGAACAGAAACTATCTGGTTACTGATATACTCTTCTAAATATCAGAAAATTTGCTGAATGATTTAGAAAATGGTAAAACCCAACTGTTTAACTTTAGGGGAGTTGTACAATGAGCCTATTTCATAAAAAGTGGAGTATCCCTTTAATCCCTTTTTTTTTTTGTGCAAAATTATTCTCAATAGTAATTTTTATTGAGTCCAATGTGTTTCCAAGTAGAGCCCTGCGCAGGACTATTTTCCTCACCCCGCCGAATCTCTGACCATTACCGCCCGCTCCCGCAACGGATGTTACACTCCCGTGGGACCCGGCGGTACTCAATCCCAATGCAGCCCTCTACCAAGCACAAAGCTAACTTTTGTAAATTGCACAAAGCACAACAGGTTGATACAACTGAACGTTATTACAAACTGTTATTTCAGTGTTTTAAGTAATTTATAAGTGGTTGATGATGAACTAATCATATACAAAACATTCATAAATGTTTAGCAAGTGATATGCTAACACTTCATGTATGTTTTGTAAATTATTACAAGTCATTTACAATTGAATAGTCATGTTTTGTAAATTATTAATCATTACGTTTCATAAATGTCAGGTGCCTAGTGGTTAGACTCCATGTGTTTTAGAGAAGACAGCTGTCTACAACCTCACTAGTCAGCAATTACACTGCAGTACACACTACAGTGTTCAACACCTGTTATAGATGTGTAAAGGCATGAATTAATCATTTACACTTTCTGCATAAAGTGTGAACTATTCATCACTTGTAAATGTCTTACACTTCATTCGTAGATTACCACTTCAAGAATCAATAAGGCATAAGATCTACGCATGCTTTGTAACACATTTACTAGCGATTACTATACACTTTAGATTAGGGGATACAGAAAGTGTTGTAAATGACTTATTCATGCATTTACACACTGTTAAAAACTGTTACTTACCTGTTTCAAATGATATGTACATGAATACAAGACATTTACAACACTTTCCCCCTCTAATTGCTAGATGCATACATTATTATTTTTTTCATTTATGAAACGTATATTCATGTTTTATACATTAACAATTTACTAATAACTTGTAAATGACTTGTAACGGAATTGACAAAACATTCATAAATGATTAGCAAATGATACTAATATTTTCAAAGTAGTTCATTAACTAACCACTTACAGACTTACAACTGAACGTTATTATAAGGTGTTGACAATGGTCAACATTCTAATGCACACATTAAAGAATGCAAGCTTTCTAAAAAAAGTGCAGTCTGCTTAGTGCCTCTTTGTAGACAGCCTAAGTGTTAGTAAACAGTTGCTGAGATGGCTTAGTATTTATCCAGTAATGGATGCAAGGAAACATATTTTTGCTTACAAATGTGGGGCCTTTGGTGAATGATTGCAGATTGCCGTTGCATATATCTAAATCATATATTTTTCTGCTTGTGTAGGAGGGATCATGAAATTTGATTCTGCAGCCACAGAGAAGTAAATCAAGATGCATGTTTCTGAGCACCTCAAGCACGCGCCGCAAAGATTGGAGGTAGAGGATTCACAACTCCCTGATGAGCCAAGACGAGAGGACTTGAATTATAAATTAAATTACAATCTAGTTATTTGTTCATAATTGTGCTTTACTGTGGCCCTTCAATGACAATCTAATTATTTGTTCATAATTAAATTAAATTACAATTTTACACTACAGTGTTTAACACCTGTTATAGATGTGTAAATGCATGAATTAATCATTTGCACTTTCTGCATAAAGTGTGAACTATTCATCACTTGTAAATGTCTTACACTACATTCATAGAGATCTACTAACTAATTATTTGTTTATAATTGTGCTAGATATATTTGGTGCCCTTCAATTGCAATCTAATTATTTGTTCATAATTAAATTACAATCTAATTATTTGTACATAATTGTGCTTGATATGTCCAGTGCCCTTCTGATGCTATTCATGGCAATTTATTTTTGAATAAAGATTAAAATGGTGATTATTGAATTGTGATTTATTTGTATGTGTATTACTGTAATGTTGTAAAGTTATATAAGTTAGAAAAACGACGTATAATATAAGTCTAAATTTGACGTTGAAAAGACGTCCAAAAGTAACCACATTTGGACTATAAATAGCCCTTACACGGAGGTCCCACAGACGTCCAAATTAGACGTGCAGTTGACGTCGAAAAAAAGACGTCGTCTGGCGTTACAAAACAACCCCTTCATTGGACCGAATTTGGACGTCCAAAAATGACACGAAAAAGACGTCACATCGACGTCACGTTGCGCAGTGGGAAAAATACCTTCGTCATGCATTTGAAACATAAGTGTATATTCCTTTGATATAACATAATGTTCCTTGATATCTCTAGAATGCTTATTGAATGAAACACTCGAATATGCATAGAGATGTAAAGTAAAGTGTATTTTTAATTCGTTTTACTGCCAATGAAGATCAAATTGTTATTATAGAACCCTCATCAAACACACCCCCTTCCACGAGAAGCGCGCGCTGAGGAACAAAGGACCATAAAAGAAGGCTTCCCGCGTGCAACATCCACTCTCCGATTGGCTCAAGCCAACAGGAAGGGGATGGATTTCTCCAAGGTGATAAATGTGAGAACGCAGGTCCGCCCTCGCTCTCTTCTGAACTTTCCAGCGCTCCTTCAACATGTAAACCTCACGGGACTCTGATCCAACCATGGATCATTTCCTTTGTTCGTCTAAAAGTTTCGTCTTTTCCTCAAATGGACTACAAAGTTCGTCTCACAGGAAAGGAAGTCACCTCAAAGACTTTCAGCCTTTCAAACACTGGCGCTAAATGCCGACGAACGGCACGTGACTCCCCACGGAACAAAGCAGCCATGAACGAGCCGGGACGGGCCGCGCAAACACGCCGCGGCCGCGCTTCACGTGAGGCACGCGCGCAGGACAGGCGCAACTCCAGCCGACACGTGGCCCGAACGGGCCGAGCAATGAGACCGCGACTCACACAGACCGAATGTGCCCTGCAAGTATACCTTCTTTTAGAGCTTCTAAGAAGCATTGTGTTTTCGTGGTGTTCAGAAAGGTTAACTGACTGTTGTGGCAAACGTAACCCACTCTCTCTCACTTGCTCTACAACTCACTCTATCTCACTCTCTCTCTCTCTCTCTCTCCAACTCACTCAACTTACGCGTATCCATTGTCTAAACGCTCTGCGTCGTCTTAGTTTGTGTTTAATGTTTGTAAATACATGTATCATTGTAACGTAGTAAATACTTAAGTAGGAACTTTATTAAATACAAAATATGCTTACCTTGACTGATTGTCTTGCTCATAATACGGGTCAATGAAATGTCAATTTAAAGCTACACGCTTTACAGAACTATAAATACCTAAGAGGGTATTTGGTTATAGAGCAGGGAAGGCAGATTCTAGTGGCCACAGAATTTGTTTTCACAAGCTATATAACTTAATTGAGCTAATTGATTTTGCCTGTCTTGTAAAACGTGGTCCTTGCAATCAATAACAATTAATTTGTGGTTGATTGCGGGGATGCACATGTATGCATATGGGTAAAATTAATAAATTAATATGTAAGACCGGTCTGATCCAAATCTGTATGAATAATTATTAATTATCAATTATTAATTATGATATGCAAATTCCCCCCTGATCAGACCCGCCTAGAGTCTTTACATGAATGGTGGAGGATGCGGGCATTTCAAACTTGTTTATGAGCAATCAATTTCAAGCTAATGTGTATATTGTTATTTAATATTGTTTATGTAATATTTAATATTACACGCGCGCATCGGAGTGAACGCTTTGCGAACTCACGATATGACTGATCTGGGCACGAAAGCCGCCTCAGTCAAGCACATTTAACAAGCTGCTAAATGTCCAAACATTGTAGTCACTGTTAAGTGCTAAAAGTAAACTGCAGTTTCCATAGTATTAAATTTGTTCTGGCACAGATGGAAGAGAAACCTCTGCGCATAAACGACACTTTTAATAATTTTAACTCCACTGTCCGGACGAAATTCTCCGAATAGTGTCGAAGACAAGATACGGTAAAACGATGCTCTTTTACTGTTCTTAAAAGGCCTTATATTATAATCGTTAGAGTAACGATAAGCTCCTGGTTGAAAAAAACATTGACTTAGCTACTCAATGTATAAAACCGTCAAGCATATTATCATAAGTGCTATTTGATATATGCCTGTTGGAGCAGGAAACAGACGAGTAATTCCTATTTTCCTTTGCACAATGCAGCGAAGAAAACCTGCGAACGTGTTTTAAACAAATATAGCACCAAAAAATCCAAAACTGAAAACATTCCAATCATTAATACTAGTTTTGATAAATGTTATTTGGAGTTTTGAAACAGACGAGTAATTCCTGTTTTCTTTTGCACAACGCAGCGAAAAAAAAAATCCTGCCAAACGTGCTTGTAAAATATAGTACCGGAAAGAAATCCGTCGAGATTTAAAATTCCGTAATATTTGTGATTATACAGCAGGGAGGGTGGTAACGCTCCACTCCCTCTGAATAAATCACAGGGGCAGCAGGCTGGTTGTAATACTACTGCCAGACACTAGGGTGCGCCCTTGAGTGCTTTGCAGTATCAAATTTCCACCGGTGTCCTGACTTTACCCCGTGTGAGCGCAGTGGCGCCATCGTGTGGACACTAACAGCTAGGTCATCTTTTCCTCAAAATTCTCTGTTAGAAAATTCCTGTTTTCTTACTGAAATTTTGAACTAGTTTCTCTAACTTTCAATGCATGTGCAATTTACAGCCTCGTTGTAATAACATGATTTTCTTTACCTTGACTGTGTGCACTTGTTTTGAATTTGGTTCAAATGACATTTGAATTTAAAATTCAGAATTAAGTCTTAGCAGCTTCTGATGACCACTTAGGGGAAAGCGCCCCCTTGTGGCCGTCCCTTTGGTAAGTCATCAGCTAACCTCACTCTGTTTCGCATGGCTCTCTCTGTTGGTTGTATTCTGGTTATCACTGATCCCTCACCGTAATCGTGATTATCATCAAATATGACACCAACCTTTAATTTCCTACACTTATTCAAATTTGGTTTGAAACAGACAAATTTCGAAGTTAATTTGAATTAATTCTCTCATTTCCCGTTGGGAATGGTTTATGGCTTTATTTATATATTTCCTCCTCAAATTATTTTTAATAATTTTGATCTGGTCTCGGTACAACTGTATCCTTACTAATCTAATGGTTACTTAACCCCTATGCATTTGCTCAATTTGAATTGTGTTTTAATCAGTTTGAATGCAATTTAAATCAAGCTCTCTGTCAGCCCGGTGAAACACTAGCAGGAAGTGACCCAAAACCCTTAGTGGCCAAAACCCGCCACTACAGCTCGCTTCCTCCTGTGTTCTTCATTGCTGCACTCTATCCCTTTCCTGAATGGAGGCTAGGTTATTCTGATAAGTAACATTGTCATAATTTCCTTTTTGTTTATACCATAATTTTAGTAAAGCTGTTGCCTTTGATTTTTCTACAAAAAAAACACTCAATTTGATTTAGATAAAGGAGCTTTAATTCACATTGAAGTACACTTGTTCTTCATCCTGTTTTGTGTTTGCAAGTAGAAATCTCTTTCGTGCTGTGATGATTTGACAGTCATCTCTGCCTGGGGTCCAGCGAGCTGGTTCGTCTGATCTGCGTCACCATCACTGACTGAGCGCGAGTCTCGGACTTTTCTGTATCTTCTGTTGGTGCGGCCCGCAACACGATATCACCAATCTGGCACCGCCGGTTGTGTTCAAGGTCAAGTTGCTTGAGAGGGCGCACCTCGGTACAGATGCACCGAAGGGCCCGGGACACTGCTGTCATGTGTGGGGCGACAGAAGGACCAACCACGATGCTGACTCCGGCCAGAATGACCTCATTTCACCCCAGGCAAACTAGAAAAGGTATTAAAACCCATCCACTTACTATTTGCCACAAAATCTCGAGATTCCCCTGGTAATTTGAAGTGGTTGGCTTCCTCCTCTCCGAGCCACAAACCGGCTCCAAACAGGCTTAGGCCTTCTCTTCTTCCCCTTTCTAACACTGCTGGTGTACTACTATGCCATTTCAGTACAGACCTCCCCATCTCTGATGGTTGCATGTTACTTCAAACTTTGCTAGATTGCCATTGCTCTGTTCTGTTGTGCTCTGTTCCTTTCAGTTCACCTAGAGACAGAACCTCTCTGACACACCAAGGAAAGCTGAAGAATAGTTTGACAACCAAGTCGTTAGCACCAACAGGTGACCCCTAAGCTAGCGCCCTGTCAAAAACCTTCATTCAGACCCATGATGACCTACCCAAATTGTCCCACCAAACGGTTTAACTGTCTGCATCAGTTAACCAAAATTCTCATACACGGCTTAGCCTGTATTATAGCTCGTTAAACGTAGTCGAACTGGCATTGGTCTGTCTGTGTGTGTTGTGCTCCTCTCGCCCACAGTGAAGCCAGTATGTTCCAGTCCTACAGTCCCACAGCCCGCTGGGACAACCTGGAGACATGGCTGAGATTCATGACATCTCCATCCCTGCCCAAAGCCACCAGCGACTCAGAGCCCTGAGCCAAGAGCAGCTGACAAAGACTGGGCCAGACACGTCACAACCTCGCTCACCAGCTCAACGCACACGCACGCCTCCGCGAAAGGAGCCGCATCGCCCTGGAGCACAAGGTTGTAACGCCGAGGATGACAACGACCC